TCAGGAATACATATTCAAAATACAAATCTTGAAATACATTTTGATAAGGAGCCACTTCAGGTCTATTCAAAATTCATACAACCGGTTGTGCGCACCCGCAAGTGTATAAAAAACGCAATTTATTTTGTCTTTGTTAGATTTATCAACCATCAAAACGAATACTAACTGTCGAATTCCAACTCTCGTGTTTTCGCGCCCAGAATAAAAAAAGAACGACATCTCAATAAACTTAAACGAGATACATCCGATCCAGATAGTATTGCGATAGCAGGAATACAACCAAAATGTACTTTAATAGAGAAGTACAAAATACAGTAAAAAAATTGTCGCGCGATCCAAAGATATAAATAGAAACTATATTTGTAAAATACGATTGCGAAACATTTGTATAGCGATATTCCCCAACCCTGCTTTGTAGCGACTCAGAATGATTTACTTCAGGTTCTCTTTGGGAAAATACGTGGGCACTGTACACAAACCACATGGAACTACATTTATCGTGGAAACTGTGCATTAACCAGAAACTGAAAACGTTCTTGAGCGAAAAAGAAAACGAACTAAAGGTGAGTTTTAGTTTTTTTTTTTCTTGTGAATTATAGTATAACAAGTATTTGACCCGAACATATCAAAAAACGCGCCCAAAAACTGGAAAAAAAATAACAACCGCTTGGTAGGACGTTGCACGGAGAGGTTTCAACAGCCTTGCACGGGCCGCTTGTTAAGGAACGCGTGAGCGTTTTCGATTGCTCTCTTAAGACTTCCGGATAGGGAGGAAAGGTTGAGATGTTTGATAAGTTTTCAGTAGTATCCTCCCACCAAATGCTCCGGGAAGGGGGAGCTTCAGTGGTAACTGATGTGGTGGTTACTTGGCGCGTGAATCTGAAATATAATTTGAATATTCGCGACTCTGGATTTCAAATGAAGACGATTTAAGTGTCTTTTTTTTTAATACAACACAACTTAAGTTTCTGTTTAAGCTAAGCAACTCTGTAAAAAAAAAAAAAAAAAAAAAACTTTTAGCGAAACTTTCAGTATGGAACTCAAGCTCCTCAGTCTTTGAATCAATAATCTGAACATCTAAAGCAAACGGTGCTCAGTCCACCCATTGTTTTTTTTTTCTTTTTTTTAGAATGAAGTTTTTCCCGGCGAGTCAGACAATTAAGCAAATGAGGCTCCTACAAATGTGGGGAAGGCTTCAGAATATCAATGTTTGCGATACCTGAGTCAACAAATGTAATTATGTGGGCACGTTCATTTTACATTTCACTTATCGACAACAAAGTAACTCACTGCCTTCAGGGTTTATGAAGAAGGTTGTTCGTTTTCGGGGTTTATGTTTCTAAAAGTACGAGGGTCTCGCTTCGGGTTTTATATTTTTACCAGAATTTGACGTCTTTCTCTGTCTCTGTGTGGCGTCTGACAAAAATCTGAATTCACCGTGACTAATATTGAAGAAAATGGGTCGGGCAATGCGGATTCCCCAGCATCGAGGGCACGTGACACAGATATTGGGAAACGGTCGTAGTACCGAAAGGGAACGGAACAAGGTAACTGGTGTGGTTCCCAAGAAAAAAGGGGCCTCCAGGCAGTTCTGTGGATGCACTGTTCTAGATTAACACATCAGAAAACTGTGAATTAAGATTTTCTCCCCAAAAAGATTCGGTTTTTCTTCCTCAAGGAGCACGTCAATTTGGGGTGTTTTTGTATATTGCGATGTTCATAAACCCGAATTTCGGGTTATTTCGTGTGGTTTATCGGTATTAGCCAAACACGCAACCATATTTCTTAAGCATGCTGGCTAAGGACTTAGTTAGACACTCTATAAAATATAAACGCGCCTTTGGTGGATCACAAAAAACTCTTGAAAAATTACAAGGTTCTAAATTTGAACATAGCGATCATATTAACTCTCTACTATCAAGCAAATTGAGAGAAGTCTCCGTTTTCAAGAAGACAGAAAGAAAGAGTTTTGACAGCGTTTGTGCTTCGTGACAAATGGTTAGCTTCTGAAGATTTCATCGATTTGTTGAGCACGTCAGGCAACTTAATACCATCAGAGCCCAAAACAAATACGCCACTAAAGTGGCACTCACGTTGCAAATATCCATCAAGGCAGCGTTATAAAAGATATATATAACAAAAGTTCCCCTTTATAAAACCTGCTTGTAATATCCATCGAATATTGATTAATGGTGCCGCAGGCTCCAGCTGCCATCTCTCGAACGTGACCGGCTATGTCTTCCAGGTGACCATCCCCGAGAAAAAGATTTCGACACGTTCGAACTAGCGCAATGCAAGCACAAATGTATTGAAACATAGAATCGCCGTAGCGGCAAAATGTTATTTTTTGTTTGGCTCAATGACTTGCGACATCGCCATTTAAGACTACGGTCTATACTCCCGCTGTCACCTCCATAACGGCTCCGTGCTGCAAAGCATTCTGACGCAAGACTCTCCTCCACATTGAGCGAAGCACCTGATGGAAATATTTTGGGCGGATGGCCCGGTAGACTGCTACGGGAAGCGCCGGTTTGAGCTTGCACCTCCTCACCCCCTCTTCCAGTATACCGACGTCGTCAATTTCTTAGTGCCAGCCGAAGTGACGCAAACAGCACGTCAGGACGCGCTTCCCACGCCGGTCTTGCTGCTGCTGCAGTCTTCCTTTAGGCCGAGTCGACGGCTGCAGGAAATCGGTTCACGTTTAGCCGCTATCTGCCGACCGACGCCTGTCAGGTGTTGTGACGTGCCCGAATTATACCCAACACCGGGTTTCGTAAGCGGATAGAGCCATGCGTGGGTCTTACAGTTGTCCGTGATGTTCGATACTCCTGCAGTTTTGGCGCTGCAAAAGTTGCAGCAACATGAAAAGTTTAGTACAGTATTCGGTATCAATTTGATTACGGTTTAGGCAGTGGGTCGGTTAAAACCCCGTGAAACCTGTCGGTATTTAAAAACAAACCTGATATAGAAGAAATTGTCCTTCGGAATTGTGTGTAATGCTAAAGCTCGCACGGCAATTGGGATAAAACTAATTTCGCGTTATCTTTTCAAGTGAGGCGACCACACATATGATCCGGCTGTTGGCATAGCAAATGAACAAATGCTCGTTTTGCATGTGGTTTATGCATACTTCTGAGATGTTTGAGGCTATACTTTTTTCTTTATGAGTACTCTTTTTTATTGACAATATTATTGTTACATTTCATTTGTTAACCGCACATTTTGAAATTATCAATCTAATGACACTTGTTTGATGGTGAAGTACGCAGATTGCTGCGTGTCTCATTATGTGTACTGGAGTATGACAGTCCCGGCAATAAAAAGAAAATGAAACCGAATAGAGAAAGCGATAGTCAGAAGTGAGGAATGATACCACTAAATACTGAACAAAGCTCAGTGAGGCCTTCGCACAAATTTTAGCACGCATGCCGCTCTCTATGTTGATGGGCACATATCAGTGATGTCGCGTACAAAAACATATACACGATTACTAATGAACCTATAACGGTCTTGTCGTATTGTAAAAGGAAAAAACAAAACAGGAAATGGTTCGGAAACATATGAAGTATAGTCTACGTTATCATTCTTTGATTGCCTTCGTATTTAAAAATTAGACTAATAATGAGTTTCTGAACATTTGAAAGTAAGAAATCACTGTAGTAGGAAAAAAAGGTTTCACATCATTTTTTATTAGGCGACTTTTTACAACAGATATGGAAACAAAGTGAGTTAGAAATCGGTTCATGGTTGAAAGGTCACAAGAGAAACACACGCCAAGATACCGGACTTGTGCTGCTTATGCTGCTGGCACAGTACTTCTGGTGCACGCACAAAGGAACAAAAGCTTTTTCTTTACAAATATTCCATGGATGCACCTCCACGTTTCAAGTTATTCCCCAGTTATTACACCACCTACGAATACAATTAAGGACCTCTTGTAGACTGGCGCAGTCTGAAGGCGTATTAATATCCACGTGGACCGCAGAATCCTCGTTGTACTGACGGATGTTAGAGAATCCAAAACAAAAAAAAACAGTATCATCAATAAAGACTAAACGAAGGGGATTAGAAACTGCCCCCCTACAGAACGGCTGGTTTTCTTTAATTCAGATATTTACAACACATTTCCTTTTATTGGTTATTAGTCCTATAAGCGGTGAACTATGTTCTGCACGGGGAGGGTGGATAAATTTATCTTAACGCGCACTTCACAAAATGCGGATATCGCCTTCCTCTTTCCAGTTCTGTGATTTGGCCTCATAATATCGTGATAAAGTAATCTAAGTTATCGGGTGCAAAAAAAATATACAGGATTTTTTTAGGTTGGTAACCAAATATACCGCTATACTATTCCATTCATTCTTTTGGTTATGCCTTGTATATTTTTAACCCACTTTATGCGAATGAAACAACATCATTAGCCTCTCGGGGAGCTTTCTCTTGCCAAACCGGAGAGGAAAAAGATCCCATTCATGGCCGGGTTAATCCAGGGTCCAAGCTGAAGTGCGAACACGCAAGCAAGAAATTAGCAACGCGGAGTTCTATCTGCGTCCCGGAAGTGCAGTCGAGAATCTCGTATCCGGTGGCGAGAATGTGACCCTCCGCCGCAAAGCCTTCCCACTTCCGGTCACGCCTCCGCTTCCGAGGTCGCCGCCTAATTGCGGCCAACAGGGAGAAGCCGTCCCCCCCCCCCCCCCTCCCCTTGTTCACACACCAACACCGCGGTTAGGACCACTTCCCGCGGCCCTTTGTGGCTCCGGACGGAAGCTTGCGACACGGAGAAAGAGCAACAAAAATAGACCCCCTCGCTTCTCTGCCTTCGACACTTTGGCTGCGCGTTGTATCTCGCAGCGAACAGCAGTCTCGGCCTGGAATAATAGGGAGGAAGGATCTAAACGTATAAAAGTATAATATGAAAAAAAAAAAAATGACGGCCCAGGCAGCTCGATTTCCCTGCGTGTCCGCCACCCCTTGTTCATAGTGCTGGATTTCGTGTGAAGAGTGCAGCGCAGTTTTCAGCAAGCTGGCGTTTTGTGCTGGGCGTCAATAGTGTGCAAAATGGAACTATACAATCAGTGGTTGATCCTGGGGAGCTTGCTGGTTCTAGGAGTGTTGCTTCCGAGTGAGTCGTCAATCTTGTACTAAATACTATAGTAGGTTACAAGTCAAGAAGGTAGCGGCAAATGCCCCTCAAAGGGAATCATATATCCCTCCGCCACCTCCGCATCCAATAGCGTCCCATTGTTTCCGTGACGTTGCGGCCGACGCGCGAGGAGGGTCTTGCCTTTCTGCACATATTTGCTTTATCTTTCGACTTTGACTTAGCATTGTGGAAGCCAAAAGAGGGTGATTAGAGTTTTCCCCCTCCGATGAAAACAACAACGACTTTCGGGGATTAGCTTCCCCCTCCGATGGATATCAAGGCTGCTTTCAGGGGCTCGGTTCCCCCTCCAATGAATACAAAGGTCGCTTTCTTAAAAAGTGGGATCGGAGACAAGTTGGCATCACTCTGTACCGAATATCTATCCATTGAAGCGGAACAAGGAGTGTTTCCAGTGAACTCTACTTTCCACTGCGGAGGAATTTGAAACAGGCGCCTCACGCTTGTGGGAGGAGCTTCTCCTACCTTCTTAACTTGTAACCGACTATAACTGAGACGACGATCTCTGTTGTACCGTCTGTTTTCTGCGGCGTATCCTACTCTGTAAAACGAGATATTTATTTTAAGTTTCTTAGTTTCTTTTTGCGAAGTCCGTTGAGTCGAAAACGTTTATTCCGGAGACTAACTTGCCTCAATGCCTCATCCAGTCAAGTTAGTGTCCGCAATAAAAGTTTTCGACCTCATTTGATTTCGCATATAGATACTGGCTGTACTCCCTCTATAGTAACTCACAAGAAATTCAAAATGACGTAATATCTTCACGCTTGTTACTTCGCGATCTTTCTTCGACGTTGTCATCGACTAATTGCACGATCTAACTGGCTGCGAAAGGTAGTAAGTTATGCGGACACACCACGTAATGCCTTCCTTAAGGCGCCAGTGAGCGTAAATCATTCCCGGCTGGCGCCAGAATTTTGCAGACCACTCTGATACCCAATCCTCGAGACATGCGCTGTCAACTAGTCGAATGCCAATGCGAAATGGAAATATATTTTCAGCTCAAATAACGTCTATTGCACAACACCAATCCTGACGTGTCACAAGCTATAGTCATGCTGAGTGCCTCTTTGCCGAGTACGATCTAAAAACTACATTTCTTTCGGCTTGTTATACAAGGTACACCTAAAGTATACTAATATTGGGAACTTGCCGTCCACCTCCCCCCCCCCCCAAAAAAAAAAAAAAATAACTTTTGAAGTTATGTAAATCTTTAACCGAAAAAAAAAACTGCATCGCCGGACGCTAATTCTCCGTCCAAAGTTGAGCTGGAGCTCCGAAGCAGAAGAGCAAATTTGCAGAACAACCCGGTATATTATTCAAACGTTAGAAGTGATATTATAAGCATTTCAATGGGACATTGGGGCTCATATTTGCCTGTTTTATGTTTCTTACGCAAAAAATCTCCATGTATTCGAGAGCACCGTCGACCGCTATTTTCCCAATGAAATTGCAGAAAGTCGCATATGAATTTTGAATAAGATACCGATTTGTGCTGAACCTTTGGCATCGGGTTCGGACTTCTAGTGCTACGTTTGGGTGGGAAACGAGCGCACTGGCTATACGTAGCTAAATTTTCCAATGAAAAAAAGACCTTGTAATATTTTGGGGGGAACGCCTTTTAAATTGGGGAGGTTAACTATTCGAAGCTTAGTGGGAAAGTACAAATATATATTTTTTTAAGCATTTCTGGTTTGAAAAAGAGTAAAAATGATATGCGAAAAACACACACACACAAAAAAAAACTCTTAGCCACGTGTTTGCTGAGATTAATAAAATTTCGGCCTGTACGAGTATTAATTATTATATATTCTCTTCCGTTGTCTTTATGGCTAACTGCCGGAAGACAATGTGACATCAGTTGGTATTAATGCATGGTATGAAATACGGATTACCTGTACGATTTCAAGTCATACGTTTCCAATGCTTCGATAACTACTCGCCTCAAAATGCACAGGTTGACCTCGATTTAGGTGTAAAAGTAAAGCACCCTAATAGGTCTTCAGCTAGATGAGTCATAGCTGTCCCGCAACCAGAAGCTGTTCATGGATAAACGAAAACAATATAACGAGGAATATGCATTATAGTGCAGAATTATTGTGTTTTTGTTGAAATTATTTCTCAGTTAATCAAATACACGTGTTCGCCGTGTGGTTTTATAACACGCGCGTAATATGACAACATAATTTGTCAGCAGCTTTAAAACCACGTAGTTTGAAAGTATATACAGCTGCAAATCTTCTGCTGAATGAATCTTCGCTGTGTTTTCTTTGAAGTTTCTCTATTTGTAATCTAATTTTTCTTCTTTAAATAGTTTATATAAATTGGTTCCGAAATATGTCCAACCTTAAACCTTGAAGTAAACGAAGTTCTAAAAATTTACAACACTAATATAACACTGTAGATAACTAGCAACTGTTTTCTTATGACGAGCTTTTTGTACGCGGCACATTTCAGTTATGATCCGAAACAAAATTGTACAGGCGAGCGGTTTACCTTCATTGTTGAGTGAGGCATGTCAAAGACTCCAGTATGAATCCGTAGTACGTTGAACAAATTTTGGATATACAATGGACACACCCAATGATATTATAAGGTGATCTGGCTGCGGAGTGGCTAATACTTGAAGTAAAAATTGGGAGTGACACAAATATGTATTCTCCTATGAAGGAAGATTCATATTCTCCTTAATAGGAGAAAATAAGTTAGGGGTTAACACTAATTGAAAGTTGAAGTAAATTAAAGAATTAAAACTAATAAAAACTTGTTTAAAAATCAATATCAATATGTGCATTTAGGTGAATCAGCCTCTGATAAGTTAGAAGTACGACATGGAGTGCCGCAGGGATCGATTATGTGCCCTCTGCTATTTCTTGTTTATGTAAATGATGTGGGAAAAATACAGGGCTCTCCAGAACTAATCATGTGCGCAGATGACGCGAACACGTTCTTTAAAGCACGTTCAAAAGACATATTACAAATATTGGCCAACGAATACTTGGAGAAGCTGGCTAACTTGCTTAAGCGTAACACATTACATCTTAATGTTATTAAAAGTAAATACATAATATTTCGCCCGTTAACAAGCAGGACAAAAACACTATACTTATTAGATTTGATAACGTACCTTTAAGCAGGTCAAAGCTAAATAATTTTAGGCATATGGTTCAATGAAGACTTCAACTGGTCGACGGATATACAGAAACTTTGTCCTTATCAATATTAATCAATAGGATGTATCTGTACAATTAATTAAATACTACCTCCATGGTTAACAAAGAAATTATATTCTTATTTATGCTGCTCAAAATATCATACGGTGCATTAGTATCGGGTGCCCCTTCTATGACGACTGATAATAAAAAATAGACCTTCCAAAACGAATATTTCGCATGCTCGCCAATTTTTAGGGTAACTTGCGAGACTTGCGTACGGACCCACTGTTTCAAAAATGCACTATGCTAAAGGCTAATAAAATATATTCCTTTAATTAGCTTCAGGTGATTCAAAAAGAGAAGGTATATTTCATGCCGAAGAATGTTAGCTAAGAACATGCTTAGAGAACAAATAACTGGAAAAGACCTAAAGTGAGAACAGGTGATGGGAAGCAACAATTGGGTTATCAAGCTTTCTCCTTCCTAAACAAATATTGAAGAAAAGGTAAACTTTCGGTGTTCCTGTCAAAATTTCAAGAGAAATATTTAAAAAAAAAACTCCCGGTGGAGAGTAACATCGTTTATAAATGAGTAACAAATGTGAAAAAGTCCTCTTTGATGTAAGTATATTATTTTCTCAGTCGCGCTTAATCTGGTACCAGTGTTTATTATGCAGTTGTTTGGTTCTGCATGTGCATTTGCAGATGTCCTGCTTTGCGCTGTACTGTAAAGGAGGTAGAGACGTCGTCAGGCTGTAATGGCAGCTTTTTTTTCTACCTCCCTTCCTCCCCTTTTTCTGGAAAGAAATAAGCAAACTAAACTGAACTGAAAGGCATAATTTTTATGGCATCATCCAAGAGCTGGTAATGCAGTTGTTAGTTTAAGATTGTCGTCGCCGTGTCAATATAATAGAAAATTCGAAAAAGAAAAAACATTAACAGCTGCTAAGAACACTTCTTAGCCGTGAAACATAAGTAGTAACAGCCGCGGCTATATAGGCAAATTTCGAAAAGTATATCTGGGAAAATGTCGATTTTACGATGAATAAAACAATAAAGCTCTCCCATTCCTTTAATATTTTTGGCCTCCGTTGGCGTCAGGTAAAATCATAACTATGTTCGCATTTTAGAAAAAAACATTCCTCAGCTTTCTTTTTTTTTATTATTTAAAGATTTGTGTATCACTTTGATGATAAGGTGATGAATTTACTTTTATTATGATGTCATCGCCAGGGTAATGCGATTCCTTTGTGAATTTTATGTGCATATTTTTATAAATTTAAGGAAAACTAGAGTTACCTTTTTGTGAATATACTTTAGCTACCATTCTACGGGGCAACTGATTTAGCCTTGTTTGAAAATTGTCTCATATTTTTAAAATTGAGTACCTGTATTCAAAGCTCATCTCACGGAATAGTATATTTTTTGTGAAATTACCTTTCACGCAATTGGTAACTTTTTGATCGCGAATGTTTTTTTTTATATCTAGACTATTAAATAAAAGTTTTGAATAAACAGCGCTTAAAAATGATTCTCTGGAAAAAAAAATCCCTGACGGTGCATCTTAACGATACATATATTTCAGCCCTCAGAAGGATGAAATAAGCATATAGATAAGAGAAGCAATTCGAACGTTATGAAGGTTAGGCCAGCGAGCGGTCCTTCCACACTTTAGATGCGGAGATAAATGTTCATTCTGAAATGAGCAATTGAGCCAGTGCAGTACGATTTCAACACTGGGAACTCTAACATGCATTTCGCACTTCTGATTACACAATCGCACGCCTCTACGACTGCCGTCCATTTCGAA